CCTGGGGCCTCCTGGGGCCTCCTGCGGCCTCCTGGAGCCTCTTGGGGCCTCCTGAAGCCTCCTGGGGTCTCCTGGGGCCTCCTGAGGCCGCCTGGGGCCTCCTGGGGCCTCCTGGGGCTTCAGAACTACATGCACACAGAGACACAAATCACGCCCAACACATCACACGCTAGACAAACATAACACACACACACACACACACACACACACACACACACACACACACACACACCTACAACACACAAAAAGCACGCACCACACGAAGCATACATCACAAACACACACACACACACACACACACACACACACACACACACGCACAACACTCACAATCCTGGGGCCTCCTGGAGCCTCCTCTGGTATCCAAGTCGGGCCTCCTAAGGCTTCCTGAGGGCCCTGGTACACACATCGCAAGGTGTGGCAACCCCACTTGCGCTCGAGTGCGACTTCGATGTTGCATTTCACTCCTGCTTCAAACGCCCCTTCAATTTTTTGTATGAGCCTGGGCACACACGTGCCACTTGTGTGTATACATATATATATATATATATACTAGAACCACGCGCGCGCTTCGCGCGCGCTTAGGTTCTAGCTAGGAGGCGAGCTTGAGTCAACGAAAGTCGCAGGGAAGGGGGCAGGGGGAAGAAGGCCAGAGAGCGCTGAAGGATACAAATACTGGAACCCTCTTGTGATTTTGTGGGGGCCTCGTCCGGCCGCTCGCTGGGAGTTTGACGTAGCTTCTCGGGAGCCTCTGAACCTGTCGGGGGCCTCCTGGAAGCAGGTTCGAAGCATTTTGGGGGCCGATTTGGGGCTTCTCGGGGCCTCCTTTGGGCCTCTTGGGGGTCTCCTGGGGCCTCTTGAGGGGCCTCCTTGGGGCCTCCTGGCGGCCTCTTGGGGCGGAAGGCTCGAGCTTGCGGTTCGTGGTCCCCCTCTGGGCCCCCTCTTGGGCCCGTCTTGGGGCCCTCTTGGGCCATCTTGGGCGCCTCTTGGGCCGTCTTGGGGCCCTCTTGGGCTGTCCTGGGGCCCTCTTGGAAGCTTCTTGGGCCGTCTTGGGGCGGTCTTGGAGGCCTCTTGGGCCGTCTTGGACGCGGTGAAAGCCCAAGATGCGAACATGCGAAAAATATACGTTTTCCTATGAGAATGACACGATTTTTGTTTCTTGGACCTCTCTTGGGGTGCCTCTCGGAACGTCTTGGGCTGATTTTGGAAGCCTTTTGACGCCTCTGGGCGGCGTTTTGGCGCCTCCTGGGATATGTTGGGCCGGAAGCTCGGAATTCGAGAGTGGCTTTCTCCTTCTGGGACCCCTCTCGAAGTCGTCTTGGGGTTCTCTTGGGCCGTCTTGGGGCCGTCCTGAGCTCGTGCGCAGCCTTGGAGCGCTCCCGGAGGCCTCCTAGGCCGTCTTGGAGGCCTCTTGGGCCGTCTTGGACGCGGTGAAAGCCCAAGATGCGAACATGCGAAAAATATACGTTTTCCCATAGGAATGGCACGATTTTTGTTTCTTGGACCTCTCTTGGGCTGCCTCTCGGAACGTCTTGGGGTGCTTTTGGGAGCCTTTTGGCGCCTCTTGGGCGGCATTTTGGCGCCTCCTGGAGCCTCTTGGGCCGGAAGCTCGGAATTCGAGGTTGGCTTTCTCCGTCTGGGACCCCTCTCGAACTCGTCTTGGGGCTCTCTTCGGCCGTCTTGGGGCCGTCCTGGGCCACTCGTGCGCAGCCTTGGAGCGCTCCCGGAGGCCTCGTAGACCGTCTTGGGCGCCTCTTGGGCCGTCTTGGACGCGGTGAAAGCCCAAGAGGCGAACATGCGAAAAATATACGTTTTCCCATAGGAATGACACGATTTTTGCTTCTTGGGCCTCTCTTGGGCTGCCTCTCGGAGCGTCTTGGAGGCTTCTGGGACCTTCTTGGTGTCATGACAGGCGTCTTGGAAGGCATCTGGAGCCATCGGAGCGCGTTCCGAAGCCGCCTGCGAACGATCTTGGACGGCGTCCGGCGGTCCGACGAGCCTCCGGGCCCCCCGGGGCCCACATTTGTGGTCGGGGTCCCGGCCCCGGGCCCCCGGACCCGGTGCGCCGTTATATGTATATATTCCTTCCTATATTTTTATAAGCCCGAGCGGGCGGTAAACCCGTCACAGCCCCCCCCCCCAACCCGGACTCCCGGGATCTGGGGCTTTGGGACCCTCCAGACGGGCCTCGAAGCGGTTCCCGGGCCTCGCAGGGCGTTTTGCCAAGCCTTCCCAGCACACCTAGGGCGATCAGGGGGGTCATCGGAGACGTCCCAGGGACCCCCAAGACAGCACAAGAGCGCTCCAAGAGTGACCGACGTGACCTTAAGATGGCCCAAGAGGCCTCCAGGACGGCCCCAAAGAGGCCTCCAAGAGCACTCCCAAGAAGGCCCTCAGAGGCACTAATAATTTATTTTCTGTAGGTTTTTGGTGAATTTTGGGGTTCTGCTCTTTTCGGCTTCCCGACACTCCAAGACGGCGGTCTTCTGGGTGTCCGAAGCCGCCTGGGAGGCCCCCAAATCGCCCCACAACCATCCGAAAGGGCTTCCAGGCAGTCCAAGCGAGCCCCAAAACGACACAACACGGGTCCAAGTTGGCCCTCAGAGAGCCCCATGGCGGCCCAAGATGGCCCAAAGACACCTTCCGAAGCATTCCGAATCGTTTAGGGAGACCGCAGTTGGAGGCTGGGTGGCCCGAGGAAGCCCCCAGAGGCCCCCAGAATACGCCCAGGAGGCCTCCAGAAGGCCTTAAGGAAGCCTGAAACAACTTTTGTGAGGCCCCCAGAGGCTCTCCAAAGAGGAACCTCCGCAGAAAAGAGCTGAGGAGGATGGCGAAAATAAGGACAAAGAAGCATGGAGGAAGGATAACGAAAAACATTATTACAGCGGCGATGCCGGAAAAGGCAACAAAGAGTTATCGCTAAATTGTCGACTTCACCTTCCTGCTATTCCGCCTGCATACCAAACTTCAAGGACCAAGGTGCATGGCGCGAAGCGCCACTGCAGTCTTGTATATATATATATATGAATATGTATACATATATATATATAGATATATATCCACCGCCTGGGAACCGACGTCCTGGTGCCCCAGCGGGCGGTGGATATGCATAATCCGGATGGCGTATTTATCAAGGGAGGGGTGATGAACCTCCCGACTGAGCTTGCCCAATCCCGCCCCCTCCGTCCTCCTCCCCGTCCTCATCCCCCCCCTCTTCCCCCAACCCCCAGCCCGTGCCCAACCCCCCCAGCGGATTCAAGGGAGGGGGCGAGTATTGCCCCGTCTAGGGTATATTCTGGCCCCCGGGGTCCCGAATATGTCCATACCCACCGCCTGCGAGGTCCCCGAAACTTAATCCTCCGAGCGGTGGTCATGCAGAAATTCCCGCCTCGGATCAAGGGAATCCCTTCTTGGGCCCTCCTTCTGGTCACTCTCCTGCAATCCTCCATCTCCCCTCCCCCCTCCACGTGGGAGTCGTTTTCCATGCGCTCCTGCTCCCAAGGCTGGTTTTCGTGGGCGCTGTCTCAGGGGGGAAGAGAGGAACCGATCGTTCACTTCTCTGTCGTCATAGAATGGAATGAAAGAGGGAAGGTGATGCGTCGGGTGACCGTCACTGGAAGGCTCACTTCGTCGAGGTCCGCTCAAACCAGGCCTTGAGCCAGAGTGGGCGTAGGAAGCACACTCACCTGAGCCCTCCCTGGCAGCAACATTCACTGCCTTCTGCCGTCAGCCTGGCCGAGCTGCTACACCTCAAATGTGTGGGGGAGGGGAGGCACTGCCACCGGGACCTCGCCATGGGCGCGCTCTGACCAGGAGCTTTCGAGCCGAGTCCGGCCGCGACGAACAGGGCTCCCCAGGACGAGCAGCGGCATCGAAATCTTCTCCTCCTCGGATCGCGGGTCCCAGGCTCGAGGGCTCGAGAGATCCAAGGCCAGGAGAGCCCAGAATCGAATCGATAAGTCGGAGCGGCGATCGAGATGAATCGGATCGGCGTAAATCGGCAGCCGAGTCGGGAAGAGTCGAGTCGGCAGAAATCGCCAAGCCAGTATGCCTCCACTAAAGAAGGCAAGCCCAAATCGGAATCCCAAGTCGAGTTGAATCGGAATCGGAAGCAACCGAAATCGAATCGAATCGAATCGGAGGAATCGAAACGAGCCCTGCAAGGCTCGTAGCCTTCGGGCCATGCGTCGGGCCTCCACCAGCCGTTCGGGACGAGAGGTGCACCCCCCGGAGCGCTCTCGGCGAGCCGCGCGGCTGCCGGAGAGCATCCCGATGGCTGGGAGGACCTCCGGGAGCCGAAGACGACGCCTGCAGCGCGGGTGCTGCGAGACAATGCAGCACCGCGAAGAAATCGCGACCGGAGCCCTGGGCCCTGCCTTCCTGCGGCATTCTTCGAGCCCGATTGGTCTGTGACGGCTGTAAAGGCCCCAAACAGAGGGCAACGGGGGCCTCGAAGTCTATGACCCCCCCCCCCGAGGGCCCCTGGGCGGCTGTCATGGGCACAGAACGTTCTCTTTGGGGCCTCTACAGTGACGGCCCCGTGGCCCGAAAGCGGTGTCTCAGGGTACTCCTCCTCCTCCTCCTCCTCCTCCTCGTCCTCGTCCTCCTTCAGACTTGGGCCCTCGCCAACACGGATCAAGGATCCGTGGGCCTGGTCTGTCGGCGTCAGGTCCATGGATCGGGGAAGGCACCCCCCAAACACGAGGCCAGTGCCGTCTGATGTGACGACGGAGCGCGCCGATTCTGTGGAAACGGCGTCCGTCGCTAATCCACGCACCTGGATCCATGCTTAGGGTCCCTCGACTGACGAGCCCCCTCCTCCTCCCCCTCCCCCTCCCCCTCCTCCTCCTCCTCCTCCTCCTCCTCCTCCTCCTCCTCCTCCTCCTCCTCCTCCTCCTCCTCCTCCTCCTCTCCGACGACGACGACGATGACGACAACGACGAGCAGCACACGCGGTGCCGCGGTACCGACCGCAGGGCGCCACGCGCTGAGCTGGCGGCCTGGATCTGCAGCTCGAAGCTGACGCCGTGCAGGCGGAGGCGGGCCTCGTCGGCGGGCCTCGCGCCGCTCGGCGGCCTGGCAGCGCGCCCGTCGTCGCCGTCGTCTTCGCCGCCGCCGTCGTCACCGTCGTCGTCGTCGGAGGAGGGGGAGGAGGAGGGCGCTGCTGTTGCGGCTTCGGTGGCAACTCACGGGAGCCTACCATGTTTGCTGGCTCTCGCGAATCGACGCTGACCGACGCGAACCGACGTTCACCGACACTAGATATAAATCGACGCCGGTCGACGCTGAGTCGGCTCCAAATCGACGCCATCCCACCGACGACCACACGCTAGCGCACGCCAGTGCTCTCTCAAGACTGAGGTGCGAGGACATACGAGGCTCCCGCGATTTGCTACCGAGTGCGGCCAGGAGTGCGGCCAGGGGGGCCCTTCTCCAGGCGGCCCTGAGGGGGGCCGCCCAGAGAGGGGGCCGAGGTCCGATGTTTCAGGTTTTCGGGCGCGCTCGTTGGTTCCGGGCGACTCTCAGCGTTCCAGCTACGGCGCCATGCCGAAAGCGTTCCGGGGCTACCTGGATCGTCCCGAAAGGCCGCTGGAACTCGAGACCTGAGTTATGGCCCGAAACCTGATCCGTGACAAGAAGGGGCTTTCCTGACTTCGGATCCGGCGTACTTTGGATGATTTCGCGAGTGGGGCGGAAACTTCCGCTCCGCTTCTCAAGTTCCTTCTCCTCCTCTTCCTCCTCCCTTCTCCTCCTCGTCCACATTCCATCCCAAGCCATAACCCACCCACCCGCCGAATGTCAGCTTGTGGTTAACAAATACGTGGGGGGCGCGCGTTTAAAAAAATAGTTCCCCTGCTCGGGCGAATCGCGGGGTGGCGCCCGCCAGATTGAAAATCAACGGGGCGGCGCTGGTGATTAGCGCCGACGCCCGGCCGCCAACGAGGCCCCTTTCCTTCCCCAGCCTTTCGTCCGACCCGAGTAAGGCGGGTAGTATTCCTTCCCCCCTCTGTCGCGGTCGTCGTCGCCGCCGTCCCCCGCCCTGCATGCGCCCGTTTCCAGCGGCCACTCTCTTCGTCGCTCGGGCCTGAGAGTCTTTCGCCACGGCGGAAGCGTGGCTTGAAGAAGGCGGGCCCCGCACCCCGGAGGTCGCCCTCGGCCGTTATTCGGCCTCGCGGCCCGCCGAGAGCCGTAGAGGGGGTCCGCCGAAGGTCTTACCGGCCTTAGCCTTGGCGACCCGCGGCCGTGGCGCCCGTCCGCAGCGGCAGCGGGCTGGGCCAGGCCCCCCGCCCCGCCCGCGGCCGCTGCGGGCGAGGCGCGGCGAGGCAAGGCGCAGCAAGGCACGGCGAGGCGTGGCAAGGCGGGCCCGTCTTCCTCACCCTCTTGCCCCTCCTGGCCCCTCCTCATCCTCCTCCTCCTCTTCCTCCTCCTCCTCCTCCTCCTCCTCCTCCCTCCACCGTCTCCTCCTCCTCCTCCTCGTCCTCCTCCTTTTCCTCCTTCTCCCCCCTCCCCCTCCTCTCTCCTCCTTCCCCCTGGCGCGCGTGATAACAAAAAAGTATCGCGCCCCGCGGGGTCTATTCATCAGCCCCACGGGGGGGGGGGGCCCTTTTGTTAACCACAAGCTGACAAAGGAGAGAAGGAAAGAGGAGGAGCAGCAGCAGCAGCAGCAGGGAGATGGGGACGACGACGGACGACGACGACAACGCCCCGAACCCGCTGAACATGAATCCCCAGACGTGCGACATCTTCATTTTTTCAATGCGCGGTCCCCGGAAGTCCCGACCCTGTTCCCGGGACTGGTTTTTGATCCTGACTCGTTTTTTGACTGCCCCGGGGCCAGGCAAGGGCCCCCAGAGGCCGACAATGGCCAACAACCTTCGTCTTCAATCTTTTACGACGCGATCATGTCTGGAGTCACTCCTGGCCAGTATTCGTTGCCCTGGACCGATGTAGCCCGACGGCCCGGGGGGGGCCCGAAGCGGGCTGCCCACAACGGCGGTGATCGCCAAGCACATCTTCGAGAGTACAGCACCGGCGACGACGACGACGTCGTCGGCGACGACGACGACGGCCGGCAGCAGCGCGACGGCGGCAGCAGCGGCGAAGGCGGCAGCAGCGGCGGCGACGACGACGACGTCGGCGACGACGACGACGACGACGACGTCTGCGCCGACGACGACGACGACAACGACGTCGGCGACGACGAGGGCGACGACGTCGACGACGACGACGTCGACGACGACCACGACGTCGGCGACGACGACGACGAAGACGTCGGCGACGACGACGTCGGCGACGACGACGTCGGCGACGACGTCGGCGACGACGACGACGTCGTCGGCGACGACGGCGACGACGTCGGCGACGACGACGACGGCGACGACGACCTCGGTGGCGACGACGACGACGACGACGACGTCTGCGACGACGACAACGACGACGACAACGACGTCGGCGACGACGGGCGACGACGTCGACGACGACGACGTCGACGACGACCACGACGTCGGCGACGACGACGACGAAGACGTCGGCGACCGACGACGTCGTGGTCGTCGTCGACGTCGTCGGCAACGACGACGACGACAACGACGTCGGCGACGACGACGACGGCGACGACGACGTCGGTGGCGACGACGACGACGACGACGACGACGACAACGACGACGTCTGCGACGACGACGACGACGACAACGACGTCGGCGACGACGAGGGCGACGACGTCGACGAGGGCAACGACGTCGACGACGACCATGACGTCGGCGACGACGACGACGAAGACGTCGGCCACGACGAAGTCGGCGACGACGACGTCGGCGACGACGACGACGTCGTCGGCGACGACGACGACGTCGTCGGCGACGACGACGACGACGGCGACGACGACCTCGGAGGCGACGACGACGACGACGACGACGTCTGCGACGACGACAACGACGACGACAACGACGTCGTCGACGACGGGGCGACCGACGACGACGTCGACGGACGCGACGACCCGTTCGACGACGACCCACGACGTCGGCGACGACGACGAGGAAGGAAGTCGGCGACGACGTCGTGGTCGGTCGTCGACGTCGTCCGGCAACGACGGACGACGAACAACGGACGTCGGCGACGACGACGACGCGGGGACGACGACGCGTGGCGACGACGGACGGACAACGACGACGTCTGCGACGGACGAAGACGCGACAACGACGTCGGCGACGACGAGGGGGACGACGTCGAGACCGACGACGGGAAACGTCTGACGACGACCTACGACAGTCGGCGACGGGACGACGACGAAGACTCGTCGGCGACGATGACGTCGGCGACGACGACGTCGACAACGACGACGACGTACCGTCGCGACGACGACGGACACTACGTCGGCGACCGACGACGACGGCGACGACGACCTCGGTGGCGGGGGGGAACGACGACGACGACGACGTATGAGGGACGACGACGACGACGGACAACGACGTCGGCGCGACGAACGGGGGCGACGACCGTCGACGACGACGACGTCGTCGGAACGTGTCGGCAACGACGACCGACACAACGACGTGTCGTGCGGACGACGACGACGACGACGGCGACGTCGGTGGCGACGACGACGACGACGACAACCAACGACGACGTCTGCGACGACGACGACGGACGACCACGGACGTCGCGACGACGACGAAGACGCGACGGACGGACGACGCGACGACGACACACGACGTCGGCGACGACGAGACACGACGAAGACGTCGGCGAGACGAGCCGTCGGCGCGACGGGACGTCAGGCGACGACGACGACGACGTCGTCGGCGACGACGGCGACAACGACGTCGGCGACGACGACGACGGCGACGACGACCTCGGTGGCGACGACGACGACGACGACGACGTCTGCGACGACGACAACGACGACGACAACGACGTCGGCGACGACGAGGGCGACGACGTCGACGACGACGACGACGACGACCACGACGTCGGCGACGACGACGTCGACGAAGACGTCGGCGACGACGACGACGTCGTCGACAACGACGACGACGACAGCGACGTCGGCGACGACGACGACGAAGGCGACGACGACGTCGACGACGACGACGACGACGACGACGACGACGTCTGCGACGACGACGACGGCAACGACGTCGGCGACGAGGAGGGCGACGACGTCGACGACGACGACGTCGACGACGACCACGACGTCGGCGACGACGACGAAGACGTCGGCGACGACGACGGACGGCGACGACGACGACGTCGGCAACGACGACGACGACAACGACGTCGGCGACGACGACGACGGCGACGACGGCGTCCGTGGCGACGACGACGACGATGACGACGTCTGCGACGACGACAACGACGACGACAACGACGACGTCTGCGTCGTCGACGTCGTCGGCAACGACGGCGACGACAACGACGTCGGCGACGACGAGGGCAACGACGTCGACGACGACGACGTCGACGACGACAACGACGTCGGCGACGACGACGACGACGAAGACGTCGGCGACGACGACGACGGCGACGACGACGACGTCGTCGGCAACGACGACGACGACAACGACGTCGGCGACGACGACGACGGCGACGACGACGTCGACGACGACGACGTCGACGACGACGACGTCGGCGACGACGACGAAGACGTCGGCGAAGACGACGACGGCGACGACCACGACGACGTCGACGGCGACGACGACGTCGGCGACGACGACGACGACGTCGGCGACGACGACGACGACGAAGACGTCGGCGGCGACAACGACGACGTCGGCGACGACGACGTCGGCGACGACGTCGGCGACGACGATGACGACGACGGCGACGACGACGACGAAGGCTGCGGCGGCGGCGTCGACGACGGCGACGTCGACGACGATCGGAGGAAAACAAAACTGCATAAACTGAAACTTTCCAAGGTCCGCACGGATCTCTTGGAACTACACTGGACCCCCTCCTAGGCGCGCACAACGCGCCAGGGGCGACGCTGGAGGCGCCGCCAGGGGGGGCCCAAGCGCCAAGCCGAGAAATCCGCGCGGAATGCCGAAAATTCAGGTTTCTGTTGCAGTTCCTTCTTCGAAAAGCAGCGGCAGCGACGACGACGATGACGACGTCGGTGGCGACGGCGACGACGACGACGTCGGCGACGACAACGACGGCGACGACGACGACGTCGACGACGACGACGACGGCGTCGGCAACGACGACGTCGGCGACGACGTCGGCGACGACGACGTCGACGACGACGTCGGCAACGACGACCGACCCCCAGACCTCTGCTGGCGTGCGCCCTTGCCACGTTTTCGGGGCGGCTCCAGCCGTGACCACGAGGGCGCCCCCCAAGGACCGAAGAGGCCCGAGGACCTCGAGCCTCGAGCGTCGTTGGATCGATCGATCGGTCCTTAGTCGATCGACTCGAGCCTCGTACGTCGATCGATCCATGGACCCTCGGCCGACCCACTGGAGTTTCGAACGTCGATGGATCGATCGATTGACCCTCGGCCGACCCACTCGAGCCTCGAACGTCGATGGATCGATCGACCCTCGGCCGACCCACTCCGTCGATGGATCGATCGATCGACCCTCGGCCGACCCACTCGAGCCTCGAACGTCGATGGATCGATCGACCTTCGGCCGACCCACTCCGTCGATGGACCCTCGGCCGACCCACTCGAGCCTCGAACGTCGACCCATCGAGCGAGCCTCAGTCGATCGACGCCGACGCCGTTGACGCTCGAGCGGCCGTTGAGGCAGCATTGCGCGCCTGCTTCGAGGAGCTACGGCTCTCGGACGTGGCGCCGTCGCGGGCGGCCTTCGACCTCGCCTGCGTCTGCCAGATCGTCGGCGACGACGACGACGACGACGACGGCGACGGCGGCGGCGGCGGCGGCGACGACGACGACGACGACGGTCGACGATGACGGTGGCCCCGTGGCCTGTGCGCCAGGTACACGGCTCCCTCACAATGCTCGTTGCGGAAGGGCACCGCGGCGCCGGTGCTGGGCGCGAGTGCGGCCGCCTCTTGCTGCGCTCGGGGAGCGGGAGGGAGGGAGGGAGGGAGGGAGGGGGGGAGGGAGGGGGGGAGGGGAAGGAGGGAGGGCTCGAATCGCTCGCAGCCGCTGCCCGTCTGGGCCTTCCCCCCTCACCCGCCCTTCCCCTTCACCCCCCGCGTCTTGCTCCCCCCCCTCGCCGCGCAATCGCCTGGCCGCGCTGCTGGGCGGCGGCAGCCTCGCCGGGGGCTTCCGTTCTGCACGGTCCTTGTGATTGGATGTCTCCATATTGTTCCCATCGTTCTCCTAAACTTAATTGACTGCGTCTCGTGGGGGATGGGTCGGGGAGGGCCGTGTAAGATGGCCGTGCAGGTGCATCCCTCCTCCTGCCCTGTCTGTGGTTTCGCGCGGCACAGACCTGCGCGTTGCAGACTTTAGCCCGCCAGGGGGGGGTCTGGCGCTCAAGCGGGGCCTGATTTAGGCCCTGACCCCCCCCCCTCTGGGGCTAAATCGGCCCTCCGGTAGTCCTGCCCGGTCTGTCTGTCGTGTCCGCTCAAGCTTTTCTGGCTCGAAGGTCTTCGAGCTAGGTGCTCACGCGCCCTTCGGCCCCCCGCGGTGGGAGCTCGCGTCGCGGGCGCACGATCGCTGGCACCACGGCGAGGCGGTGGTGGCTCGCTGGGGCCGCCCTCCTCTCGTACGTCGGGGACTTCGGGGTCCTCGACTCTTTCCTGGCCAAGCCGCTCGTGGACCCCGAGGACGACGCGTCCTTGAGGTACACCAGAGAGTCGGAACGGCTGTCTCTCTACGACTACCTCAGGGTGCACATGTCCAGCGTCACTCGATGGAGCAGGTTCTTCAAGACGACCGCACCTCAGCGCGGTCCAGTGGTGCTCATGGTGATGCGGATGTACCCCAAGAAGAAGAAGAAGAAGAAGAAGAAGAAGAAGAAGAATGGCACCCGTTGGATCTACGTGAAGCCCGATCGAGCTCTGGGCGTCGGCGACATCAAGGATCGGACGAAGCTGTCGAGCCGCCGCCAGCGCGGGTGGAACTACGACGCGTTCCCCGCCCTGACGGCCGCCGATAAGGCCGAGATCCTGGAGCGGGCCAAAGAGAAGCAGCTGGAGGCCGAGCTCTACCTCAGCAACTTGCGCGGGTGGGTCTCACACTTGTCCTGGGTTCGCTCTGGGCTTGTTGGCCTCTGGGATACGTGGAGCTGGGGCTCGACGGGGGGCGCCCTCTTCTTCGGCTGGCGGATGGCGGTGTACTTCAATCTCTGGCAGTGGATGCGCTGGACGGCCGAGAAGCTCGAGGACGGCCACAACTTGCTTCTCGAGGTCGACGACTTCAGAGGCTATCTGCACGACCTGTACGAGGACGGCAAGCTCGAGCTCCCGATCCTGCTCTTCACGGCGCCGATCGCGATGAGCCCGAGCATCTACCGCTGCTGTAAGAAGCGGCCGACCCCTCTCCTGGCTGGGGGGACTCCCCCTGGGAGCGACGTGGACGGCGACGGGGAGGCGGGATACTCGGTGGCAGCCTCCTCGGACGAGTCCGAGCCCTCCAAGGACATGCAGGCGATGAAGGCGATGATGAGCAGCCTGTTGGACGAGATCACCCGCTCGAAGGTCGAGTCCCCGCCAGTCTTCGGCCGCCTCTCCGGGGGACAGCAGTCACGCCAGCTGGGAGAGGTTGAGCAGCGCCCCCACCGAGCCGAGCATGGACATGCATGTGGACAGGATGATCGACCGCTTGAGGAAGTTCGAGGACACCATCAGCGCGGACCGGGCGATCCCGAACCGCAAGACGCTTCAAGATGCATCGTCGACTACGGCGACGGCGGGATCCACGGCATGTCCGACGCTCGCCCTGGGATCACCGACGGCTCCTGAGGTGGCTGGGGTCAGTCTCGAGCCTTTGAGGGAGGCCTTGCGGGACCCGCGGGAGCGTCTTCTCGCCAATCTCTCGAGATCATCGTTCCCGCGGCATTCAGCCTCCCAGTGGGATTCACCTCGAGAGTGGCGCCCGAGCTCCTAGTCCAGACCTACGGCAAGTACGGCAGCATGGTGAAGTTTACGGCGGACTGGGTACGCTTGAAGGAGCTGAGCCGCAACCACATCGGGCACGAGATGATGCTGCACTGCATGACCTTGGATTGCATGTTGGAGGACTCCCCAGAGTTCATCCAGACAGCGGGCTGCGAGATCCTCTGCGCGCGGGTGTACGCGCTGAAGAGGGCCTTCAACGACGTGACCTGCATGAACGACTGGAAGCAGCCTCGAGGCAGCGGGGCCAACAAGTGGAAGTCGTCCAAGGTGCGGTGAGACCTCGCCAACGAGCTGGAGTGGAGATCGCTCACGGAGGGCGAGGAGGCGCTCCCGGGGGTGGAGCGCGACCTGACGGCGAGGCTGCAGCAGAAGGCCCTCTTCCAGAAGTACTTGCAGAAGGGAGGCTCGGACGCGGCCAAGGAGGAGGACGAGTAGACGTGGAGGGGGCCTCCCCCCTTGCTGGTGCCCTGCAGGGCGCCCTACGTTCGACGTTCAGGCTGGAGGTCCGCCGCTCCGTTCGCTCAGACGACGGCCACCCAGGTGGGCTTACTTTCCTGACGGCGTGGGCGGCGTCCCTGCTGGTCGCGACGATATTTTTGCGTGGTGCTGCCGCCCGAGGGAGGCGACGCCATGCCCACTTCTCCTCGTCCGCACGCTTCTCCACCGTCCACCTCGACCACGGCCGCCGGGCCGCCTCCAAAGGCCGTTCCTCGCGATCGAGACCTTCTGCCGGACTTGCCACTGCTGCACTGGGCGGCGGTGGTGCGCCGCGCGGGGCCGATGCATCGTGGCACCGCTCGACAGGTGCGTGCTCGCGCCAACGGGCTGATCCGCGCCATGCACCACCTCTCGCGGGGCGCGGTGGGGGCTTCCGATGGCGTGGGGCCGTCGGCCCCGTGGGAGCGGGCGACACCGCTCCAGAGGGTCACGTCGCTGAGGCTCCAGGAGGCGTGGCTTGCCTGGGGCAGTCAGGTGGCCGCGATCAAGGGGGACGAGGACGCTGCCCTTCGGCGCGTCATGGCCAGTCGGGCCTCGCCGTACTCTGGAGATGGGGCTGCTGCGGCCCTGGGAAAGGATTCCAAAGGAAGAGATATGCTACCGAAGGGTGCGATGTGTTCGGTCGACGTGGAGGAGCTGGCATACCCGCCGCCTGGGACCACCCCTGCCAGGATCGTGGACATCTGCCCGCTGGCGGCCGAGTACTTCTCCGACGTCGTCGGCAGGATGCTACGCGAGCCCAGCAAGGCCATGGACGAAGAGCTGCTGAATCAGAAGGTCTACCGCGACCCGTCGCTCCGCTCTCGCGCTGCTTGACTCCGCCTGGCCGAGAGGCTCTGGGATGCGGGAATGCTCGGGATCACCGACCAGTTCGTCGAGAGCGTCTCCCTCGTCGGGGCCATCAAGAAGTACCTCCAGGAGGAGTCGGACCCCCCCCCGCCCCCCCCCCAGCGCCAGGTCCGCGCCATCTGGGACGAGGAGGGTGGAGGAGGGTGGAGGAGGGTGGAGGAGGGTGGAGGAGGGTGGAGGAGGGTGGAGGAGGAGGAGGAGGACAAAGAGGAGGAGGGAGGAGGAGGAGGAGAGGAGAGGAGGAGGAGGAGGAGGAGGAGGTGGAGGAAGAGGAAATGGGAGGTGGAGGAGGAGGAGGAGGAGGAGGAGGAGGAGAAGGAAAAGGAGGAGGAGGAAGAGGAGGAGGAGGAGGAGGAGGAGGGAGGAGGGAGGAGAGAGGAGGGAGGAGCAAGTGAGTGATTGACGACGGTCGCGAAGCGAGTTCGGTGACAGACGGACCCCGACGGCTGGCCTCGATTCTGCCGCGGGCCTTAGGCCAGCGCCCTGCAGCAAGAGTCGAAAGGTATTCAGCACGATTAGGAGTCGCGGCCTCAAGGCACGGACGCCGAAGGCCTCGTAAACACTGGCTGGCGTAGCTTCCACACTGACAGCAAAACCACAACGTAAGCCCCGTTATGCAATCGCATCCGATGAATGTTATGCACCTCCCCTCCCGCTATTCGCAGTGATGACCCATCTGGAAGCCCAAAAATCGCCCCATTGATGTTGATGGGTTCGAAACAGGGGCTGCTGAGCCAAGTACTCCGACCAGCTATGGTGGTGGAGCTGAAAACAATTCAAACACAGGAGGAGGAGGAGGGAGGAGGGTGGTGGTGGTGGTGCAGGAGGAGGAGGAGGAGGAGGAGGAGGAGGAGGAGGAGGAGGAGGAGGAGAGGCGCTGTTTGGCCGAGCGGTTCGCACATGGGTAGATCGGAGCTTCGACCCCCTCATGCCGGTGGATGATCATCTTCCGGTATTTGTCGAGTTTGCTTGGTCAGAGACCCGTAAAAGGCTCAAGACACCCAAAAAGAAGCTTGACCGGCAGAAGCTCTCGGACGACGGCGCCAAGCGAGCCTTCGCCCAGGAGCTGGACCGCTTGGAGCCCGACCCATGGGGCACCAACATAAACGACCACTGTGACAACCTCAATCGCCAAGTGCTGGACGCGGCTCAAAAAACTTTTGGAGTTGATGCGAGGCGACCGCGAAAGCCCTTCCTGTCGAGGCAGACCCATGCACTGGTGACCTGGAGACGTGGCGTCCAGAGAGTCTTACGCAAGACCCGTTTTGAAGTCACGCCTGATGCCGCCCAGGTTTTGCGAGCCTTTGCCAGCCGAGTGTTGATCGGTGATCTCGCCCAGTTGCAGCAGGAATATGCGGAGGCACCGTGGGCGGGCCTGGCTGCCAGAGTGAACCAAGGTGCCAAATCCGTTCACCACACCTTTGCAGGCTTGTTCTCGTTCCCTGTTGTATTGCTTGACTTTCTGACGCATTCTGAGATGGTATTGCTGCAGTGCCTGGAGCAAGAGCGCACCGCCTTTCTCGAAGAGCAAGCCAAACAGATAGCCGTTTTTGCTGATGCCCGAATGCACGCATCTCAATGGCAGGCCCTGCATATCCTCTTGAGGTTCGGCGGCAAGCCTAACCCCAAACAAATGGCTTTCCCGCAGTACGTAGGTGATGATAGGCACGCAGGAGCAGGTTGATGAACACATGCAGTCGCATTTTGCGGAGGTCGAGAACGCCCCCATGCTCGACGTCGTGCAGGTGGTAAATGCTCACAGTGCGGTTTGGCTGATACGCATGCGGAGCGGCGGCCTGTTCGAGTCGTTGGGCCTGTATTGTGCCCGGCCCCTGCCCCTGCTGTTGGGCTCCCCCCTCCTCCCCCTTCTCCTCCTCCTGGGCACCCTCAGGGTCCACCTCATGCGGCCCAGGCGGCCATCATTATACGCCCGCCCCCACGTCAGCACCTCCTCTATGTTCTCCACTTGTTTCCGGGCAGAGGCGCCCGGGTGACGTGCAGGACCACGTCGAGCGCATGATGGTATCGTTCCCATTGCGCATTGTTGTGTTGTCCGTTGATATAGCACACAGCGAGGTTGAAGGGAAGATCGCGCGAGATGATGTGACGGGCAGGTGGAAAACGATGCTTGTGCAGGGACACATTTGTGGTATAATCTGCTGGCCTCCATCTGAAACGTGGAGCGCGGCGAGGCACATGCCGATCCCTGGTGATGGAATGCCCCCGAGGCCCTTGAGGTCTCAACAAGAGCCGTGGGGGCTTGGGCATCTCTCGGAGAGGGAGGATGTACAAGTAGCGGTTGGCAACTTTTGGCTACGCACGTGCATTGAGTTTCTCTTCTTGTCCTTGAAGCACGGGGTTACGGCTATCATGGGACACCCAGCGATATCTGAGGCGGTGCCTGAGGTGCCGAGCCCGTGGAGGTTGCCAGAGCTCAAGATGCTTGCCACTCAGCCACAAGTACGCCTAAGCATTATTGATCAGTGCATGTTCGGAGGAGTGGTTCTGAACCCCACGTGCATGTGCGGTGTCCGTGCCCCTGCCTTGGAGCGTGCTCTTGATTGCATGCGCACGCGTGGACGGTGTGACCGCAGCCATGCGCACCACACGTTGCGCGGACGAAGCGAGCAGGGAGGGTGGCACACCACGGGCGCCAAGCAGTGCCCGTCGCCTCTGCGTGCCTTGCTTGCGGGGGCTGTTGTGTCTGAGGCGTGGCACAGGCACGAGCACGCGCGTGCTGATCATGCTGACCATGCCACCGACATCCCCCCTGATCTCCTCTGCTATTTTACTCCTCTTGATCCGTACGATCCCGGACTTCATATGGTGCGCGACTATGTGGGCCCCAATCGATACCGGCAAGACTGAGTGCCCTTGCGTTATGGTGCTGCCCATATCGTGATGGCCCGCCTTCCTGGAGGTCTGGCCCTCCAGACACTGTGCCCACAGCTCGGGGTGCCTGCGGCTCCGCTGCCGTGGTTCCCCTCCCCTCCCCTCCCCCGACTTCTGCACGACACGGTGTTCGAGACGGGCAAGGGCGAGGACTCTTTCCCAGTCCCGCTATTTCTCACCCCGTCCTAGAGTGTAGGCCACGAACCCAAGCCTTTAGGGAGCGAGCGAGGAGGAGGAGGAGGAGGAGGAGGAGGAGGAGGGAGGAGAGGCGAGGCGCGAGGCCCTTCGGCGGAGCCTGCCCGTCGCCCAGCACCTGACCGCGCAGGGCGCGGCCGGCGGCGCTCATGGCCACAGCGCGGGCGTGCGGCCGCCGCGCGGCCGACGGCGCGAGCGCCCCCCTGGGCGGGGCGGATTCCTGGAGCCAGGGAGGGACGGCCCTCGGCAACGTATCGCACCTCTGCTAGAAGAAACATAACACCATTCACATGGACGTTTGGCGCCCCGCTCGGATTTCTTGGATCCGCGCTGGGCCCATCGCGGATCCAAGAAATCCGCGCGGAGCGCCAACAGTTCCTGCTTATGCCGTTTTTTCTTCTGCGGCCTGCCCTTCCCGAAACGATCGGGTGTTGCCAGTAGTGCTCCTGGCCCAGGGGGCCCCAGAGGACTTCCGAGAAGGCACCCGCGGCCTCCAGGGCACCCCTCACGAGGCCCAAAGGGCCCCAGGGGCTCCAAGATTGAGCGAAAAGCTGGGGGCACCTTGGGCCAGGGGCACCGTTGGCAGCCCCCGACTTGCCCATCCCGAAATGAGGGGCGCTTGCTTTTCCTGCCCACCAGGAGAGGGCGGCCCAGAGAGGACCCGAGGACGGCACCGCTGACGACAGCAGAAACGAAGGCGGCGGGCGACATCGCTGACGCTGATGGCCCTCGGACCTGGATCCTCGAGCCTCCTCTCCATCCTCCCTCGTTCCGGGTTTCCAGTGCTGGCAGCAGAATCCGCAATCCAGCGAGAACAGGAGCTGCTGCAACGAGCAGAAGGAGAGAGGATCAGCGGGAGCAGCAGCACTGCTTGCCTCCTCCATCCTCCCTGTCTCTCTCCTCCTCCTCCTCCTCCTCCTCCTTCTCCTCCTCCTCCTCTTCCTGGACTCCTCCTCCTCCTCCTGCTCCTCCTCCTCCTCCTCCTCCTACTCTTCCTCCTCCTCCTCCTCCTCCTCCTCGTTCTCCTCCTCCTCCTCCTCCTCCTCCTCGTCCTCCACCCTTCTCCTCCTCCTCCTCCTTCCTCCTCTTCCTTTCCCAACCCTCTCCTTTTGTGATAACTCCTCGCTGTCGCATCTCCGGACGAGTCCGTAGGGCGGGCCAGGCGTTTCGCCCGAGACCTGCCCACCATAATTGATCCTCAAACTTGCGCTGACTCTTCGCCAAAAGGATGCGACATCACTCCTTTTGAGAGCGGGACACTCGCCGGAATGGCAGGCCATTGCAGGGGCTGGTCTTCCAAGGGGACACTCCTTGTGGTGAAAAGGAGGGCCTCCGCACACTACGGGTCAGGACCTTTTGCTTCGCGTGTCGCGGCGGCGGCCCCAGCGACGCGCTATGCCCTACATGCTGATCGCAGGTCGCTCCGCTTCGCAGGGCGGGATGTCAGGAAAAGAAAGGCTTGGGACTTTGACGCTCAGGGATTGGGACGTGGTTAACCTCATGCCCGTGAGAATAAACACTAGGGGATAATAAAGTTCGGGGTTCAGGGAGAGATAATAAAAGTAGCCCAGCAGACCTCAGCATAATCTCGAAGTAAGAGATGATCAAGAGGAGACCAAGCCGAGCACGTTTTGAGACATCCTTGGCGTTTAGTTTTCATAGAAATATCCTCAACAATGGCTTATCTCTCATGAAATTGTTTTTTTGTAAGTGCTCGTGTAGGGTAGCTCATGTGCCTCAATTTCCATGGATAATCAACCCCAGAGATAAAAAAGTTCAGGCGAGCGTGGGGACAGAGAGAAATATAAAAGAAGAAGAATACAGTAGAAGAATAATAAGAAAGAAGAAGAAGAGGATAATAAGAAGAGGACGAAGAAAGGAAAAATCCAAAGTTCCAAATCTATCAATTTTAATTACAAACGCTTTATGAACATTGATTTTTTAAGTGCTCGTGTAGGGTAGCTCATGTGCTTCATTTTCCATGGATAATCAACCCCAGGGATAAAAAAGTTCAGGCGAGCGTGAGGACAGATAGAAATATAAAAGAAGAAGAGGAAAGTAGAAGAATAATAAGAACATTGCTCGTTTCGTTTGAGTCTGCCTCCCAAAATTATTGGTTTCGCTTGACACATCCTGAAAAAGTGTGATCGCTTCGCTTGATGTTGCTATATCAACATCGCTTGATGTTGCTATCTCAACATAGCGTTTCGAGGTGATAATGAAGTTCGGCCTCAGCGCTCGCCGCCCAATTTTAATTTTGTATAGGGCGACGATAATCAACTCTAAACACTGAAGGGGGGGGTCCCTTTCTTATCATCGGCATGCGGTTAGCGTGTCGCGCCCAGGCGTGATGGGCCAGAACCGGCGGCTCGACATGCTAACCAAAAGTTCCCGACCTTATGGGGAGGGGTCTTGGGCCGGGAGGGTGCGTTGCAGCATTGCTGATGCATCTTGGACTTACTCTGGTCCTCCTCTTCCGCCCAAGAGGGGGGCCGCCCTCCCTTCGGGGGGAGAGGAACAAACAACTGTATACCTAAACATCAACTTCTGCCAGTCCGCAAGGACTTCTTGGATGTGAGCTGGAGCCCCCCCCTTTCTCAGGCGCGCGTAGCGAGCCAGCGCAGATCCACAAAATTCGCGCAGACCAACAAAATTCTATGCTCATGCAGTTCTTGTTGTTCTTCGAGGGGGGACTCCTCGAGACGAGATCGCGGACCCACGCGCCCCACGTCTTGAACACATCCGTGCGGAGACCGATACCGCTACTCCCCAGACGGGATTTCGAGGCGAACCCAGCAGTGGCGACGAGGATCTCCCAGGAGGTCCCCAAAGGAGGGAAAGCCAGAGAAGGGTAGCGGGAAGGGTACCTTTTCCTCCTCTGACTGGTGAGCGGGTCGGGACTTCCAAGGGCCCGATATGGATCCAATAAAGGTATCAGATGGCCGATACCGGAAACCCTGGACCCCAAACTGTTGTCATCTCTTGGGGACGCATCTTTCACTTCCGCCAGCTTCCGCTGGCGGAGGCGGCCTCGTTTTACTTCCGCCGCCTTCCGCCGAGGAAGAGATTGCAACGCACACGCAGGTGCTGACAATATGCGTGAATCTTTTATTCCAAGACCTTCTCGCTGCAAGTGATACGTTATGCTAGCTGGTAGCGTAGGCAGAAGGGGGCCCCCTCAGCCAATATGTTTACGGGCAGAGGGGTGAGAGCATGCAACAGCAATAGCAGGGACCAGCATTATCAGATAAACAGAATGACTATTGCACTCCTGGAGTTCTCTCTGGTCCTGCTCTGAAACTCGGAATGCGGCCTGGCTATACAACGGGTTTGTTTGCAACACGGACTTGGATTAGCACGAAATAAAACAGTAACTGAATTCTCTGAGCGGCCAAGGATCGGCAGCTGAAATCAATGAACCGAAACCCGATACGGCATCCGGAATCGGTAATATCTTGGGTAAGACCAAGCGGATGGGAGTGAAACACGACTCCCGGCACGTACAAGTAGAAAATCAAACTCACAATATCTTGGGCGAAACCAAGCGGATGGGAGTGAAACGCGACTCCCGGCACGTGCAAGTAAAAAGTCAAACTCGCAATATCTTGGGCGAAACCAAGCGGATGGGAGTGAAACGCGACTCCCGGCACGTGCAAGTAAAAAGTCAAATCACTTCTTCTGTACTTGGCCATCCCCACCGGTCAGCTCCTCGCAAGCAATCGACTCCACGAGCGACAGCACTGGATCCGCCAGGAACTTGGTCAGATTCTCACGAAGCTTCGGATCCTCCTTGGTCATGCCGTCGGCTATCATGTGCGTCGTAGGGATCCATCTGACGTTCTTGACCTTCACCTCGTCACGAATGGAAATCACGTCGAACACAGTACGTTTCTCAGACAAACTCGGTGTGAGCTGGTGGAGGGCATCGTGCAGAGACTTGCAGTCGGTAACGGTGATAACCTCGAAGATCGGTGGGTGTCGGCCAGCAGGCCGTCCAGTCAACATCTCGGACAGGAACTTCGACAAGTGCGACGCGTAGTCCACTCCCAGGTCCTGCGCGATAGCTTCCCCAGCCAGCGTAGATCTCACCACTCTCGGCGTTCTCTTGGACTTGTGAAACAAGAGAGTACATGACGTGGGTCCGGTGAGTATCACCTTGTCTGCCAGAAAGATGAGGGTGCCGATCTGGGTCTTCAATCCTGGAGCGTTCGCCCATGAGCTGTCTGCAAAACTCACAAAGCAGGCGCGGCTCAAATCGACGCGGACGATCAGGATGCCAGTCTGGGCTGTGCGGTGCGCGTACTCTACGTGCTTCATGGCCATCCGTAGGTCGTTCAGCTCGGGGTCGGTCCTCTGGACAAGGGAAACCGCGGCTGACAGGTCTGGACGTGTGTGTCCGGACAACCACTGGAGCGAACCGACAGCAGACTCCAGATCTTCGCGCTCAGAGCGCGTCAGCTTAGAAGAAGACCGAGTGCTGGACATAACTCCAACCTTCGTGACTGCAATCGCCTTAGTGTAGGCCGCTTGATGAACAAACAAACTTCCGCTGTACGGACCTTGACGTAGGCGCTGGTACTCCTCGCCGAGGAAGACGAAGTTGTCCCACTGCCAGCCTCGCCATTTAATAGCCTTCTCGATCGGGGTGAAGTCGAACTTGGGATGGTGTGCCGCAAGAGCATCGTCCACGTGCATACCCACCGCGCAAGCCAACTCATTGTTCGGAAAAAACCACAGGAAGAGAGCTGAATCGAGGCTGTGGAGCTTGCTGCCCAGCGCCAGGAAGGTCGTCACCACGTGCTTGTACCATAGGTACGGCGCCGTCGACTGACCGTACAGGTTGCCGACCACCTCGTAGAGTGGGGCGGTGAAGACTCCGGCGGCTTGAACTATCGGGTCCTTGGGCGGAATCATGTAGATCGCCTCTTCGCGCTCGCTCTGGGCGCCTCCCTGGAGAAAGGCGCTCTCCGCGTCTCCGGTCCCGACTCGCCAGTCATTCGAGACCGCGATCTGGCAGATCAGCTTCTTGCCAGCATCGGTCAGCACCGGGGCGTTACGCGGCAACTTCTCCAGGTCGGGGTCGGAGAACCCCAGCAACACCGGGCGAGCCTTGGCCTTCAACGGCGGAAACCCCAAGTTCTTGTCCCGGTAGCACACGCGCGAACGGATGCACCGTTTGCGGAGATGAGGGTCACGACGAACTTGTTCGGCCTCCTCCTGCGAGCAGGCCCGAACGGACTTCCAGGTGTCCCAGTTCTGGCACTCCTTGCGCAAGGCCTTGACTCTTGACGTACTCCATGAACTGGTCCTCCGGGTACTCTGCGATCTCCCGCCAGGGGATTTCACGATCCAGTTGACGCTGCTCGCGTCTCGACAGGTTGTTCGAGTCCGTCGTGTCGCCCACCTGTGCTGTCGCACAGTCCACGTCCATCTCGCCGTCCCTGAGGTCGGAGAGCTCGTGGTAGGTCATGTACAGGCAGTTTGTCCAGTCGTCGTCCGGCTCGCTGTCATCGATCGGGTCGTTCTCGAAGTTCTCGATGGGCAAGAGGTGCGCCTCGTAGGCCTCCTGGACTCCGCCAGGCTCGAGAACACGCGGGTCCTAAGCAGGACTGGCTCCTCGACTCCGTCCCAGCCATCCGGTGTGATGAACTCCATCTCGTCCGACTCGTTGGACACGAAGGCTGCTGGGCTCGGTGAGCCCGGTATGTGAGGAAGCTTTCCTGGTCGGGGTTTCTTCTCCGGTGGTGGTGCGATAACCGTCGAAGGTGCCGAACCGCTCGATGGTGGTCGAGCTGCGGACGACTCGCGGGTATGAGGTGCTGATCTCCTCGGCGTGGGCGTCGCAGAGCGCTCTCGTGTTCTGACTGGTCCAAACTGAGGCGGTGCCGGCCACGGAAAGGGCGCAGCGGGCTCTGGAGCTTCGCCTTCGGCTCGACTCTGGGCTCGACGCCGGGTACCGCTCTGGCCTGTCGGCGTCGGAGACTCCGATGCGTCGGCAAGTTGAGGAAGTTCAGCATTTGGCGCAGCTTCAGGGGCGTCGTCGGCTGACGCGCTCCTGAAGTTCTCTTTGGTAGCGTTGTCTCCCAGAGAGGCCTGTGCGGGCTCCTCCAGGATGGGCTCTAGCGGGGCTGCCGGAAGAGGTCCTGGCAACACTCGTGCTTGAGGATCTTCTGGTTCGGGTTGTTGTTCAGGAGGGCCCTCAATGATGATGTTCGAAGCGTCGCCCTGGCCGGCCTTCGCCAAGTCCTGCTCGGCCGTCTTGAGCTCCTTGAGGTCCTCCTCGGAAGGGGTCCAGCCCTCGAAACCGACGGCTGGGCGTATGTGTTCGCGGGCCACCTGCACAGTGCGGTGCCCGATCCGCAACCAGGCAGACTCGCCCTCGCCGTAGCCGTTGGTGCCGGAATCCCAGAAACAGAAAATGCCTGGGCGATACCCTGCCACGGGCGTCTTGCCCCGTCGCTTGCGACCATGCTCGCCCCAGGCTGCCACGCGCTGTCCCGAGAGGAAGTCGTACTCCTTGCGGTTGACAGGCTGGCGGAGGATGGAGGTGCGCAGCGCCTCGTCGGCCTCCAGGTCGGCGATCGCCTTGAGCGCCTCAATGCGGCATCTCCCCCCGTAGGCCAGCATCTCATCCTGGGTGCAATTGTGCCAGAACTCGGCGGACGTGGTGTCAGCCAAGAGCTCGGTCGGAAGCGTGGGTACCCGTCCGAAGGCGGCGGCATAGGCGGTGCGGCCTGCTCGGCGCACTGACTGGTTCACGGCGTGGCTCGTCGAGATGATCGCAAGGTCCACGTGCTCTGGCATCGTCGGCAGGATGACGTCGATCACCTTCTCGAAGACTCGGCGCCAGGCGTAGTTGCCGGATTCGGCCAGGCCCAACTGCCAGTGAGCTCCCGGCGGCACGTACCTCACGTCGATTCCCAACGTGTGGCAGTTGTCCATGAACACGGCTTCGAAGGCGCCGTCCCTGTCGACAACCAGAATCTGCATAATCCCGAACGGGGTGAGCCAGCACGTCTGGAACTTCTCCCAGACGTCTCCTGGTTCGCGTGAAACAATCCGACACACCACATGGAGTCTCGTAGCTTTGTCCACCAGTCCCAAGAGTGCGTGTGTCGTACCGTCGTGGGTCATGACGTAGAACAAGTCGCCCTTGACTAAGTCGTTGAACAGACCCACCCTTGGAATCTGTGACTCCCGCTGTCGCTGAGGCCGTTTGCGACGAAGGCACGCCGGGCACCTCAGCGCTCTGGCGCACAGCAGCGTGGCCTGCGAGGCGCCTCTCTGAGCCAGGAACTGGAAGAACTCGCTGGGCACCGGATGTCCCAAGTTACAGTGCATACGAGCGACAGGCTGGCGAACTTCGCGAGGACACTGCTCCTTTGTCACTCCAACAAAACGTATACCAGCCATACCGCCGGACGCGTCAGGCATCCGAGCGATCGGGACGTCCTGCAGGTCGTCGTCCTCGTCGGGCGGCAGGCTGTTGTTCGGCAGCATCGGGTCGTTCGGGTCCGGGGGAAGCGGCATTCGCTTCTCTATCTGTGACGTGTCAGGCTCCTGCGGGAGGGACTCCTGCTTGGCATAGCCGAAGAAGAAAACGGCTAGGTCCGCGGGCGGCGACAAGGCCAACGTCGGGAAGGCCACGTCAACCAGGTCCTCGGCTTCGATATGGTAATGTCCCTTCTCGTCCACGTAGCAGTGACCACGGTGAGACCACGGCTCCTTGTTGATGGGGAACCTCCTTTGCTTGGCTGACTTCGCGAGCTGGATCATCGTGAGGTCCCACGGGACGAGCTGGCTAATCTGTCTCCAGAGCGCGGACGACTTCGAAAGGTAATGCATGGCCTTGTTCCCGCCTCGGCTGGCGGAACCGCCCACGATCTGTCGGACGCCCTGCATGACCGCCTCCCACCTGGTGGGGTCCTTCTCTGGCGAGGCGAACAGCACCTCGATGGGACCTGCGTGGTTGTAGGCGACCTCCCACTCGGTAGCCGCAACCGGCATGTCGGCCAACCTGCTCGGATTCCTCTGGGCGGCGACCTGCTGGATCGCGTGGAGCATCGCGTGGGCCATCTCGTCGGTGTACTCGCCGCTGGCCTTTGTCCACTTCGAGTTCTCAATCTGATCGTGCAAGTGGCCCCCGGACACGGGACGAGCTGGCTAATCTGTCTCCAGAGCGCGGACGACTTCGAAAGGTAATGCATGGCCTTGTTCCCGCCTCGGCTGGCGGAACCGCCCACGATCTGTCGGACGCCCTGCATGACCGCCTCCCACCTGGTGGGGTCCTTCTCTGGCGAGGCGAACAGCACCTCGATGGGACCTGCGTGGTTGTAGGCGACCTCCCACTCGGTAGCCGCAACCGGCATGTCGGCCAACCTGCTCGGATTCCTCTGGGCGGCGACCTGCTGGATCGCGTGGAGCATCGCGTGGGCCATCTCGTCGGTGTACTCGCCGCTGGCCTTTGTCCACTTCGAGTTCTCAATCTGATCGTGCAAGTGGCCCCCGGACTCCGGACGAAGTCCTGGGCAGCGGCGGCTCAGAGCCGCAAGCGCGGGCGGCGAGTTGGAGAACCAGCGATGCGCCTTGCGAATCGGCAGGCCAGTCTTGCCTGTCTTCCCGTACTGGCACCCATGGCCAATAACGGTCTCGCCCAAAGGCAGGAGCGGGGCGAACTGGAGGTCCTTCCAGATCGCTGACGTCGGCGGGTTCTCGAACAAGAAGAACCGGCCATGCTTCACCTGGTACTTGATGGTCCACTTGATCAAGTCAATCAACCGTCGGTCCCGAGCACGAAGTCTCTCAAGCAACTCGGGATGGTCGACGTAATTCACATTGACATTGTAGGAGCACCAGAGCGTGCAGGGGAAGCCTACGATCACGTAGAGTGGCTTGTCTTTCAGTATCTGATCTTTCCATCTCTGAGCACCTCGCGTAGTTGACAAGTCCCAGCCGTCCTCTATGTCGGCGCTCGGCGAGGCCCTCAGCTCAAAGCGTGAAGCTAGTCGCGTAGGTCTTGCTGTCCCTGCGCAGCCCTCGATGAGGTCGGTGCCGCACGCCTGGCACTCGTTGTCCAGGTGCCGGTGGTCGGGCAACTCAGGAACGGGAATGTCCATGAAGGCCACGTCTGAACAGCACCATTCCGCGTCTCGTAAATCTGCAGCTCGGCGATCGGCATCTTGACTCACGTTAATAAGCGTCTCGCAGGCTGCGGTCGTCTTCTTAGCAATGCCGAGAAGGCGCTTCCAGGCGCCTCTCTTCACCATCTCGGTCCCCGACGCGGGGGAGGCTGGCGCGGAAGCTTGCCCCATCCCTGGCCCGTCTCCTCGCCCCCGGAGGCCCTGTCCATGTTCTCGTCGTACTCCTCGTCCGTCGGAACCGCCTGCTCCGAGGGTGACCTTGGCTCCGCCTTGGTCCGCGTACGACCCTGGCTCGAGCTCGCCGAAGACTTGACCGGGCGATTCGGCATTGTTGAAGCAGCTGGCCGAGAGCGCGAGGAGGAACCCAGTGACTTTGTCGAGGTAGGTACGCGAAGAGGATCTTCTTTGTCGTCCACGATCCTCTTCCCGTTGACCGACTTCCACCGCCGGCCGCACTGGTCGCAGATCAGCCAGTACCCCTTGGCGTAGTACCTCCTCGTTGTCGGATGGGCGCACACGTCCCTCTTCTCGCACAGCTGTGAGTAGTTCTGGGCTTGATCCTCTGGTGCCGGCGGCGGTGGCAGCACGCTCTCTGGAACCTGTGCGGCTCCTCTCGCGATCGCCTTCACTGAGTCCGCCATCGGTGTCAGGTAGCCCATCTCGTGGCCCATCTGCGCGATCGCGCCCATCATCCGGTTCGACATCTCCGTGTTCTGCCGGAACTGCTCGCGACTGCGACCGATGATGTGCGACAGGTGGTTCATGATCAGCTGCATCAGGTTCGTCCACGCGTTGATCGCCAGGTTCTGCCTCGTCAGCTGAACTGCACGACGAGACGATCGGGCCTCCTGCGACTCCGACTTGACCGACTTCATTCACCGACAGACCGAGGATGCTCTCGAACACGGGCGTGGCGTCGGTCAGGTTACAGCCGTCTGGCACGGAGGGCAGGACTTCGCGAGGCTGACGCAGCCCGCGGTGAGTAGATGTAAGAGCACACAGTGCTGCGCGTGAAAACTGCATAGGCTGAGACTCGGCTTGAGCACAACTCTCTCCGGAAACACAGGCTGGTGCCTCTGGGATCCACTGGGGCTCCGGGATGATGACGTCCGAGGGGGTGAACTTCCAGGCCTCGGGCCCCCTTGGGAACCCCACATCCTTCAACCAAGAGTCGACTCTCAGAAGCAAGTGGCCATTCGGGGCAATCTTCAAGGGCACGTCGCACAGGTTGATCTTGGTGAAATGAGCCCTTTCCCCCAAGGTGTCCAGCTGGAGGCCCAGGAGCTTCCGCATCGGTAACGATCCCAAGAAAGGCAACTTAGGGTTCACGTCCAAGACTGAGGTACGGCAAACCAGGGGCACCACATGTTCAAGACATATCGGGAAATACACCACAGATTTGCTCACCGCACGACTGACTCCAAACCGAAGCCTCTCTTGCTCCTCAGCTTCCCAGAAACTCAATCCCAGGTAGGCAATATGTTCCAGAAACTTTCCCAAACACTCGTAGCCCACAACGTTGCGCTGGCAACCTGTGTCGATGACAATGTAGAAACCCTGGGAATCCTCGAGGAAGCAAACGTCCAGGGGCGTCCGGACATGCCAGATGACGTCGACCTGATGCGATGATTTTGTCCCGCTTCTCGCCGCCTGAGCTCCGCGAGAATCCACGGAAAACTGACGCACTTCTGGCGTTGCCTGAAATCGAACGTGGGAGGCCCCCTTGTCGCTGGTGGCGACCCTGCTCTTGAAGGCGGCCACGCGCTGCTGCAGCTCGTCGGGCGAGAGGTGCGTGACTAAGGCCTCGTGCTCTACTGCATCGGCGGCGTACTCCTCATCATCTTCATCGGCGGGTTCGTCCTGATCGATCGAGGCATCATGAACGGCACGAGCTCGATCTCGTTTATCCTTGTAGCCGGTCCTCGAAGACGTCTGGCGAAACCCTGGCCTCTGAGATGCCGCCGGTGCTCTTGAATCTCCGGATCGGTCTCCCGTAAATGTTCCACGAATGCTTCCTGAAAAAGACGTGCCGGCCGGCGGCGTCGCAGTGCCTCTCTGTGGCGGTGCTGACGATGTCTGCGGCGGCCTGCCGGGCGGCGCTGGGGACGGCCGGCCCGCAGGGGCGGTGGCACCCCCAGAGGGCGCTGACCGCGGTGGCGGGCGTCGGTCTCCAGGCTTCGGCGGCGAGGACCTTCCGGTCCACCCGCGGCCCAAGGTCAGCTTCTTCAACTTGTCGCTGGTGACGGTCAAAGCGTCCGCCACCTCCTGCATGACCTGGATACTGTCAACCTCCTCGGCGTAAGCCTCATTGACTTCTGCTTGATCGGGGTCATCTTCATCTTCGTTCTCCTCAGCCTCGTCCTCGGGAATAATGTCAGCCTCGCTGACGTGGGGCGGCTTCGGCGGCGGTCGAGGAGCTCGACTCGGTGGCTGTCTATCTCGTCCTTTGCCGCCTCCTTTGTCGGAATCTCGACCAGCTGACCTGCGTTCAGGAGCGGCCGCCTCACCGAGTCTCTTACGTGCCATCCGTCGTACTGGTGCGACCCAGTTGGGGGCGGTGGACGGCCACTGCACACTCATAGCCTGAACCAGGCGGTCGAAGTCATACTCATTGCCCGTGGCGAGGAGAAGGTTGCGCCGGACCTCCGGCGATAAACATGAACTTCGCAACAACTTGAATGCTCGAAATTGTCCTTGCTGAGCTGGGAGCTCTGCCCGCTTGAGCCGCATCTCGAGATCCTTGAAATGCGCGACGTATGCAGCCAGCAGCTCACCGGGCAGACGCTCCACTTCTTCATACTCTTCCATGAGGTCTCCAACCTGTAGGATCTGCTGTTCATCAAACACGGCGAGGGAGTTGATCACCAAATCAATACCATCCTGTGAATACAACCGGGTCCACTCCAAGGACTCGATCATCTCTGCGCCTTCACCCGTGATGACGTCTGAAAGGTCCAGGGCCAGTTCGGCCATCGGCTTGTAGTGTCGCGCCCTGGCCTTCCACATGTGTACTTTCCTAACCCACTTCTGGTAGTATCTCGGCTGCTTGTATATATTCTGAAACCTGGCCTCGAGTGGAGGTGGGGCTGGGCATGGTCCTCCGCGCCACTTCTTGCGATCACCTCGGGTGCGTCGAAACTCCGCCGAACTCGGTGGAATCTCCGACTCCTCGTCGTCGTCCTCGGCCCAGTCCTCACCAGCCCACTCGTCGGCCCATTCCTCTTCGTAGGTCTCGTCGTCGGGCACAGACGCTGCCGCTGCCGCGGCTCCCTCTCGAGGGTGCTTGCCTCTGTATCGACGATCTCCGTACTTCTTCGGTGCGGCGGTGGCGCCGCGAGAACCAGCGGCAGCAGCAGGCCTCCGGTCAGCCATCGTGCGAGATGTGATATCCGTCGGAGTCTGTCCGACTGCACGGGAGTGTCCGGAAGGGAACTGTCTGGTGCCGAAGTGTTCTCCCTGCGAGGGAGCTCGGAATACACGCTCCGCTGCCAATGCAACGCACACGCAGGTGCTGACAATATGCGTGAATCTTTTATTCCAAGACCTTCTCGCTGCAAATGATAAGTGATGCTAGCTGGTAGCGTAGGCAGAAGGGGGCCCCCTCAGCCAATATGTTTACGGGCAGAGGGGTGAGA